AAATGGAACCATCGACATCCAAAATGCCAAATAGGCAAAAAAAATCCTTTTATACTTATCAGATCCCCCTATAGAGGACCCGCACCTCCTGAGCCGCCTCTAATGGGAACCCCAGAATATCTTATGGCGATAAATTATGTGATTGTTTTCAATTTATTGAATTAAGATTAAACATCCTAAAGGAAAAAATGACTTTGGATTTGTTGATTTGTGATGGCCAAAATTCGACGAAAGTCAAAGGGACCCGTTTTGAGTGAAATTAGTTAGTTCATTTCAATTTAATAGCCAGAATTCAAATTGAGTTCGTTTGAACTTATGAGGATGGAGTTTTATCGAATTTTCGAGCTTAATAGTTAAATCAAAATCCGAATCGATTTATTATTTTAATTCAATTGAATAAACCTTCAATATGTAAAAGATTATGCATTTCGGTTTATATGTATGGAGATATTGATAAAAGGATTTGATAATTCCAGCTTTAGGTTTGAACCTCAATTAGTTTACTTAGAGCATTTTTAAGAAACTTTTTAAATATAGATGTTTACTATTTTAGAGATTCAAGTATGTTTGACTCTTCAAATTGCCCTTCTATTTTTACAATAATTGTATCTAGATCCAAATAACTTATAGATTTCAATATTCAACTCTTTAAAGTTTAAATTATTCAAATTATATTTGAATTGATTGACACATAAAAAAAACACATTAAATAAAAAAAGATGAGAAACCAATAAATATTTCTCGAAAAAGAATTACTCTCTAAATTTTAAAAAGAGAGTTCTCTTATACCAAAATATTCTATATGAATAGATTTTTTAATTTTTAGAGATGCTCTTAAAAGACAATAATATAGAGGAGTACGAAGAGCATCAAAGTATTTTGATTGGACAATTCTATTACTTTAGGGGGAGAAATTAAGAAGTTGAAAATAATGTATAAATGCATCATCATTTAAATCATCGCAAAAAAAATCATTTGAATAGAAGTTCGAAATATAATTTATTTAGACACATTTACTGAACAAAGATACCAACAATATCTAACACGCCAACTTTAAATGCTTTAACTCGAATTAACTTATTGGAGGACATTTAGTTAATATTATAATTGATAAGTTTGTGGCACGTCCGAACCATGATGATATTCGATTCTAATATAAAAACCTCCAAACGAAAATTGAGCAATTAGTAAAGATGGTCCAATTTAGGAGGCGTATACTTTTGAAAAGTATATAGACATAACAAAATGTAAAATCCCATAAGAGATTCAACTACCTAATATGTTGAAAATTGGGACATCTCAATAAGTTATATCATTATGGAGAAAGAAATATAATCGAAAAGGAAAAGACAGGTTGTCAACAACACATTTGTACATGATGTACTGCATCATACTATGAATAGCGAAAAATCAAAAATAAATTCGTCAAACTATATCAATCAAAGTAATGATTGACCAAAATAAATGAATGCAATCCTAAAAAATTGAATTTGCTAGAGAAACCCGAGTTTCTAGATCTATGGTCCAAACACTTAAATGTGTATACTTATGTGAAATAAAAATAGAAAAAGTAAAGTCGTAATATGAAATGTACGACTCTTTAAATGATGAATTTCACGAAAACTTGTATAAATAGATAAATCATCATGTGGTAAATATAATCACAAATTTATACCTTATTAGTCGAAAATTTATGAAATTTGATATGCATGTAATAAATGTGATTATAGACAATTTATTTTGTATAATTTTGATACTATACTTGAATGATTTCATATGAATGAAGTATATAATTCAAGTAATATTATCATGAGAGTGAGTAAATACGCATTGTACACTTTTTTCCTTGACTAAGATTTTGTCATATTGAGTTTTCTTAGTAAAGTTTTTAATGAGATAATTTTGTAGCGTACTTAAAAGAATAATGTACTCTTTTTCTTTCATTATGATTTTTCTTACATAATTTTTTCTAACGAGATTTTAACGAGACATAATATTTGTGTAATGAATGTCCATAATTTAAAAGACATTTATCCTCAAAATAATACTCTAACATGTATGAAACTCTTGAAGAGATCAACAAGAGCTATTTTTTGAATCATTATGTTACTAAAGTTATCAAATTTTGTCCCACTGAATTTTCTTGAGAACATTGACATACAATACATTAATATTGAAGACATTGACGTACAATATATGGATCATTTGATATAAGAATTGAAACCAGTGGTAGCATACTCTTTTTCCTTTAATCAAGTTTTGTATCATTGAGTTTTCTTGATAAGGTTTTAATCATGCAGCATTTTATTACTCTGAATTATTTGTCCTCTTTTTTTCATTTGTTAGTATTTTTCCCATTGAATGTATGCCCAATAGGGCTGTAAATGGATCGGATATAGATTTCAATATTCAACTCTTTAAATTTTAAATTATTCAAATTATATTTGAATTGATTGACACATACAAAAACACCTTAAATAAAAATGGATGAGAAACCAATAAATATTTCTCGAAAAAGAATTACTCTCTAAATTTTGAAAAGAGAGTTCTCTTATACCAAAATATTCTATATGAATAGATTTTTTTTTTTTAGAGATGCTCTTAAAAGACAATAATATAGAGGAGTATGAAGATCCATCAAAGTATTTTGATTGGACAATTCTATTACTTTAGGGGGAGAAATTAAGAAATTGAAAATAATGTACAAATACATCACCATCTAAATCCTTGCCAAAAAATCATTTGAATAGACGTTCGAAAGATAATTTATTTAGACGCATTTACTGAACAAAGATACAAACAATATCTAACACACCAACTTTAAATGCTTTAACTCGAATTAACGTCTTGGAGGACAATTAGTTAATATTATATTTGATAAATTTGTGGCACGTCTGAATCATGATAATATTCGATTCTAATATAAAAACCCCCAAACGAAAATTGAGCAATTAGTAAAGATGGTCCAATTTAGGGGGCGTATACTTTTGAAAAGTATACAGACATAACAAAATGTAAAATCCCATAAGAGATTCAAGTATTTGATATGTTGAAAATTAAGATATCTCAATAAGTTATGTTATTATGGAGAAAGAAATATAATCGAAAGGGAAAAGAAAGGTTGTCAACAACACATTTGTACATGATGTACTGCATCATATTATGAATAGTGAAAAATCAAAAATAAAATTCGTCAAACTGTATCAATCAAAGTAATGATTGGCCAAAATAAATGAGCGCAATCCTAAAAAATTGAATTTACTAGAGAAACCCGAGTTTCTAGATCTACGGTCCAAACACCTAAATGTGTATACTTATGTGAAATGAAAATAGAAAAAGTAAAGTCGTAATATGAAATGTACGACTCTTTAAATGATGAATTTCACGAAAACTTGTATAAATAGATAAGTCATCATGTGGTAAATATAATCACAAGTCTCTACCTTATTAGTTGACAATTTATGAAATTTGATATGCATGTAATAAATGTGATTATATACAATTTATTTTGTATGATTTTGATACTATACTTGAATGATTTAATATGACTGAAGTATGATTCAAGTGATATTATCATGAGAGGGAGTAAATACGCATTGTACACTTTTTTCTTTGACCAAGATTTTGTCCTATTGAGTTTTCTTAGTAAAGTTTTTAATGAGACAATTTTGTAGCGTACTTAAAAGAATAATGTAATCTTTTTCCTTCATTATGATTTTTCTTACATAGTTTTTCCTAATGAGATTTGAACGAGACATAATCTTTGTGTAATGAATGTCCATAATTTAAAAGACATTTATCCTCAAAATAATACTCTAACATGTATGAAACTCTTGAAAAGATCAACAATAGCTATTTTTTGAATCATTATGTTACTAAAGTTATCAAATTTTGTCCCACTAAATTTTCTTGAGAACATTGACATACAATACATTAAATTTTCTTGAGAACATTGACATACAATACATTAATATTGAAGACATTGACGTACAATATATGGATAATTTGATAAAAGAATTGAAATCAGTGGTAGCGTACTCTTTTTCCTTTAATCAAGTTTTGTACCATTGAGTTTTCTTGATAAGGTTTTAATCATGCAGCATTTTATTACTCCAAATTATTTGTCATCTTTTCTCATTTCTTAGTATTTTTCCCATTGAATGTATGCCCAATAGTGTTTCAATAAGATGATTATTGTGCAAATAATCATCAAATAAGGAGTGTTGTAAAGTTATACGATAAATATTGATGATTATGTAATCTTATCATCATGTATATATAAATCTTATATAGTTTAAAGAATTTATTTCATTCCAATTGTAACTCTCTTTTTTAACCCTATAAAATGGATCTTGATTATCATGAATAAAATACACTTGAGTTTTGACTCTCCACTTTTCTCTTTATTTATATTTCTCTTTTATTCCTTTAATTTTATAACAAAATTCAATTATTATAATATCTCTCTTTTCTATGTCATTTATCTTTATATTATTGTGTACACGTACGTATAGTATTACTCTAATTTTAATACTTAACCGAAAAACCGGGTCCACCGTTAAAGTTTTTATGATTAACGAACAGGATTAGATTGAAACGATGTCATATGTCGGCCAAAATTGTACTTATCTTTAAGGAAAATTGGGCGTGGAGGCCGTGCGGGCTGCTGTGTGATCGTCGGTTGTAAGACACCTTATTGCGTGCTGCCAATGCACACCCCTCAATCATACCATAATTCACACACACATACATCCCCTCCTCTCTCTTGCTCTCTTTTACATGTATCCATTTATTCATCCACTATTCTATTATATATATATAGGACACGAGCTCCAAAAGTGGTTTCTAGGTCACTTGGTACATGTTTAGAGAGAGAGAGAGAGATTCCTCTCAAATTTTTGGATTTTTGTTTTAGGGTTCAAAGGGTTCAATTTTTTGATGTTTAGATCAAGAATTCCTCAGTATAGATTTTGAGGTCAACGATCCGAGTTTATATGAAGATGGAAGTAGGGGCTTGTTGCACAGAGAAAAGAAAGCAAAGACAATCCCAACCAGACAAACCTTATAGAGGAATCCGCATGAGGAAGTGGGGAAAGTGGGTTGCAGAAATAAGAGAGCCCAACAAAAGGTCAAGAATTTGGCTTGGCTCTTATTCTTCGCCTGTCGCCGCCGCCCGGGCGTACGACACGGCGGTGTTTTACCTAAGAGGCCCTTCTGCTCGGCTCAACTTCCCGGAATATATAGCCGAAGCTGAAGGGTGCCAAGAATTATCGGCAGCGGATATAAGAAAAAAAGCCACCGAGGTTGGTGCTAGAGTGGATGCGTTGCAGAGTACAATCCATGCACCGAATGAATCCACCACCTCAATTCGGGTTGACTTGAACCAGTACCCGAGTCCGGAGACTTCTGATGATAATTAAATTTATGGGGTTGTTTCTTTTATAGTTAAAAGATTATCTTTTTCTTCTGGGATTAAAAGTTGGAGTTGCAGGTGATAGGGGATTGTATAGGGTTTGGTTTGGTTATGATTATAGATATATAATCCGAAGGGATTCGTATGTTTGTAGAGGATTAACAAACCGGAATTTATTTATTTCACTATTTTCGACTTTCGTATTCATGTTTTGTGACTAATTATTTTCCATTTTACGAATATTAAATCCTTTAAATACAAGTTTATTTAAAGATGATTTGAAGAGAGTTGGACATGGAACGTGGTGAGTATACGTGAACGATCATGCTTGGCTGCCAAAATTTTTTGACATCTTGGATGATAGAATGTCACATGATATATTATCATTGAATTATTTAAAAATTAGTCAACATTGACATTCAATCATTTTTTATAACAACTTAATCTGTCATTCGAGATGTTAAAAATATCTGGTAAAACAGCATTATTCATATGAGAAAGAAAGAGATGTGGCCTACATCGAGTATCCCACAATGATGATGAATGACTAGAAGATAAGGTAGAGAGTTTGGTGTGGAAATGAGGACCATAGTGTTCCAAAGTAACATGTTAAGTGGTCCTCAGTCATTGTGGTGAGATGATGGTAGCTTTCGAAAGGTGGCGGGTGGTGAAGGATTGGGACATATGGGCGGTGACTATTTTTTTACGGGTTCAATCACAGGATTTTTTTACAGACAACACGTGGCAGCATCTAACTGAAAGTTGTAAAAAATAAAAGGAAAAAAATATAGACGCTACACATGTGACACATCGGTAAAAAACTCTTTTGTACGAGGGGAATTGTTCATTTTTCCACCAAGATAAATACATCAATTGTACTGGCTCAAGTGGCTTGACACCTGAAAGGCACTATCACGTTGATGGCTCTAATAAATCACGTAGTTGATAACATCAATTCTAACTCAAGTGGATTACTATGTGATAGGTACGTTTGATCCTAACAAATTATGTCATTGGTCAACTTGACTTTCCATCGAAACACTCCACATTTTAGTTTGTATTCGCGATTCACATTAGTGTAACAACAAAATATCAAATTGTACTCAATACGGTTGGGAGCATTCACCGTTACAACAAAATGAAATTTTGGTGACGTTTACAATGGATATGATTATTAAGTAGATGTAGAGGCTGAGAAGAGGAGGACAACTCTGGACTTTAGCCCCAAGCTTGCTTAAAGTCCATTGAATTTTTTATGAGCCCTGGTTGGGTAGTTATTAAAATTCAGATTTTCATTTAAATTAAAATCAACAAACAATTTTAATCACATATTTCATGAGTTTCACAACGTCTAAACCATACAATTTATCAAAATCTACAAAAAATCTGATTTTAATCTCCATTAAATATGAACTAAGTATGATATATATATATATTTTCTTTTTTTTTTTTTTTTCTCACTGGACTCCATCCCCATATGGAAAATATTTGTTAAGCTTCCTCTTGGATCGTTCTTTTTCTTATGTTTCTTTCATGGATTAATCCATTTGTATAGAAAATGAATTCACGGAATTCTTACACCCTCTCACATGAAGGTGGGTCCCGCACAATAAAAAAGGAAAAAAATTACTCATCCACCCTGACCTTGTGAGTGTCTGTATGACTTCTGTTTCTGTAAATGTAGCAAATCTCTTTTTTCATAGTATAGCACGAAAGGATAATGATAGATGTACATCAAAGTGTACATAAGAGTGTCCATAATGGACACTCTTATGTACACTTTGATGTACAATAAGCATGGTCCAGCACGAAATATGCGGCTGCCTAACTGTACTCCAATCAAACGCATGCTTCGCTTGTACGATCTAAGGCGGTTGTACTTCTATATATAATTTAATTTTGGTGTTCGATTCTTCTTTCCAAATATTATTTTTTAAAAAAAATACAGCCCATATACCTAACAAAAACAGAGGATTTTTGGTCGGTGGATTTAAAATTCCAAGAGACTTTGTAGCAAGGATGATGCAACAGAAGAGCAGCTTTAGAAATACTAAATAATTATATTGTCAGTTAACGTTGCCAGAAGCATTTATTAAAGCATGATGCACATTAAAAGTTGAGATACGAAATATTTAAAGTCATAGTTATTAGAGTCGGATAAGCAGAAATGATCTAATGAGCACAGGTGCTCATCTTATCCTAAGCACCGATGAGTTGGCACATTAATTCATTGGTGGATTGGAACTCACAAAATCTTTATCCACCAATGAA